AAGTATGTGTTACAATGGTCAAATAATGACAGGCCAAGCACATATAGCTTAGAGGGGAAAAAAGTATGTGTTACAATGGTCAAATAATGACAGGCCAGGCTTAGAAAACAGGTTATGCGTTACAGGGTTAAAATGATGACATATCAAACACACATATCTAAAACACAAGCTATGTGATACGGTGGTCAGATGGTAACAAAATTCGAATGACCGCAGGCAACTGTGACATTCAAAAATAGTTTAGATGTGGAAATGGAACATACTTAAAAAATATGACGAGTCTATAATTCAAATGACAGTATATGATGCACTGCGTTCAAATGACAGTAAATGAGGTACTGAGTTCAAATGACAGTAAATGAGGGACTGCGTTCAAATGACAGTAAATGAGGCACTGCGTTCAAATGACAGTAAATGAGGTACTGAGTTCAAATGACAGTATATGAGGTACTGAGTTCAAATCACAGTATATGAGGTACTGAGTTCAAATGACAGTATATGAGATACTGAATTCAAAACACTGTATATGAGGTACTGTGTTCAAATGGCAGTATATGAGGTACTGAGTTCAATTCGTGAGACAGAAATAGCGGAACAAAATTTGTTTAGGCCTGAAATGAAAAGACTGAACAATTAAAAGGACGTTTTGGCAAGTTGACTTCTTTTAAGCAGACACTGCATAACAAGTACGTACATTGAAATTCGCACACATGTTCAAGTCGGAAAACCCCCCCCACTTTTTTGGCCATTATAAATCGCTTCTTCGGTGACCACAGATGTTTATGTTTTAGGACACAGTTTTCTAATAATAAATTAATTTTGTAATCGTTAACGTAAAATATTTGTCTTGCGGCGGTGCTCGAACCATTTACGCAATGTGGTGAACCTCCGTTTTTTTGCTATGTCACGTTGACAATTTGGTAAGCTATACATGTCTTGACCCGAAGTGTATTGGGCATACTAAATTTTCTTTAGCAACAGCACCACATTGGAACTTAAAGAATGTTGTTTAGCATCTAAAATGGATGGGAAATAACTCAGATATAGGCAGTCTGCCATTTTCCCTTTAGTGCCGGTCCTTTTAGTTTGTCATCACAGCTCCTATCACTAGGGAGAGACTGAATCAATTTTGCCTTTTTTTTTGCATCCTCACCGGGAACGGAATTGGGTCTCTATAACTTAAAATAACAATCAATTAAGTTCAATAAGAGAGTTTTAATATTTAAGATCTGAATAAATCAAAGTAAATTTTAAAATACACCAATATATACCATTCCACCTACTATTTCTAGCCCTACAATTCAACTATAGCGTCTTTATAGTATAGCCTTACCATTAATTCCTTGACATCAGTGGTTCTCAACCTTCCTAATGCTGTGACCCTTTAGTACAGTTCCTCATGTTGTGGCAACCCCCAGCCACAAAATTATTTTAATTACTACTTTATAACTGCAGAGTATATGCGTTTTGCGACGACCGTGGAGAAGGTTCGTTCGACCCCCAAAGGGGTCGCGACCCATAGGTTGAGAACTGCTGATTTATATTATTCACTTTTGTTGGTGTGTTTGTTGATGGAGGCTAAATCTTCTGATGACGAATTGACCCACTTCCCATTCATATAATCGAACTGAAACTTGGCACACAGACTCGTTACTAATGATAAAAATTTCAGCCCCACCCCCAAAAATCAGTTTTAATGCTAACAGATGCCACTAATTTCACGAAATAAAATTCAAGAGAACTGCTCAAAATAAAATTCTTAAAAATATCGCAATAGTGCGTTTGATGAGTAATATTATCTTTTGTTTTAAAGAAAAAGTGTAATAAATCTACGGTTTAAAAGTGGGTGTGACATTAGAATACTAATATAGTTCAGGGGCGAGAAAACAAATACTGGGTCGCAAGCCTTGGGGTCACTCATTGGGACTCTTATAACACATGTTACTTGAATGCATGTTTGGTCAAATTTTCAGTCCCACCCTCATTGCTAAATTTTACATTTTATAACAGATGTATATGAAAAACTTTGATGTTAAGAGTTTTTAAATTTTATCATAAGCCTAAGACTAAGTATGCAGCGGGTGACTTACATTAATATCAATTACTTTATACTATTCTATAACTATTAAACAACTGCTCTTACATTTACATGTCTAATTTTAAATATTCTTTTGTAATTCAATAAGGTATTCAATTATAAATTTTAATTAATTGTTAACCTAATGTAATATTCAAATAAATACTAAGCCTACTAACTGTTTGTCTTTACTTTTAGAGTCTAGTGCTATTTGAAAGCAATTTTTATTTAGCAGTATTATTTTTAATATAATAATATACCCACTATGTGACTTGGCTATATAAAATACTATATTATAATTATAATCAAACTAATTGTACAATTATTGACAAAACAGTCTATGACTTATTTAAAATTAGGTAATATATAAATTAGACTAAACAATTGTTATTAAAATAGATCAAAAAAATAATTAAGACTCAACATCATCACAGTCATATTAATTTTAAAGATATTTGTTTTGGGATATGCAAAAGATATAGTGAATATGTTACGCTAAAATGTTACATCAACATAAAAAAATTAATTCACAATTGTTATTAGAAAAGAGAAATTTTTTGAAGAAGGATCTACAGATTTAAACAAGCACAGTCATGTAGCTAAGGTGGGGGTAGCATGGGACCGGACAAGCTTTTTGCCACACCCGTTCAAGAAAGAATTCCAAAATGCAGCCCCTCAAAAATCAATATAAAGAAAAAAAGCAGCCTGGAAAAGGGGGGGGGGGGGCAGACCATCCCCTCGGCCCCCGCCTTCCTATGCCACTGAAAATGTATAATTATGTTCTGAATTTGTTTTTCGTTCAAGAAAGAATTCCAAAATGCAGCCCCTCAAAAATCAATATAAAGAAAAAAAGCAGCCTGGAAAAGGGGGGGGGGGGCAGACCATCCCCTCGGCACCTGCCTTCCTATGCCACTGAAAATGTATAATTATGTTCTGAATTTGTTTTTAACAACTTGTCCAACAATACCTGCATACTTTACAAGATGTAGCATATGCATATGAGGAAATGGTAAACATGAATTATATTTTTTCTTTCACAAGGCAATATCATAAAATCTATGTAGTGTGCATTAGGCATTAAAAATTCAACAAAACATGTTCAGTTAAGACATTTATTATTATCAAAAATTGCACTATTTGTCACATATCAATTATCCCACACCAAATTTTAATTTAGACCTACATATATTTTATAATTGGATGTTCATAGCCCGCTTGTCAAACACTGAACATGAACATTTTGAAGAAAATAAACTGCATGCAAAATGATTGAAAATGTTCAGGCACAAATAAATCCTGCTTGATTTTTATAACTATTCTGTGGTTATTACATAGTAAAAGATTAGTTATTAGTAACATACAAGAGGTGACAAACAGAGAATAAATAAGCAAAAAAATAATAAATATAGGCTTAATTTTATTTCAGTTCAGGGCAATCCTCCGAAGTCCGGTCCCAAATTATTTCCAATGATTACTCATCATTTTGTTTTGAAATTCATGTTTGCAGTAGTGGACGAAGTTGGATGGAGGTTGTTGGCCGTCGAGATGCACACACACTCAAGCGCATTATCACTAATCATGTGTTACTAGGGATAGATATCGTCATGGATTATTGGCGACGACATCAAAATGTCAGTCAGCTCAACAACAGGATTTATGCTCATGCTGTCATTTTGCACCAGCATGAATTCGTTGATTCAGTAGACTAGGACATTCACACGTAAACTATTGAAGGACTTCGGATGCAAGCGAAACATAAACTCCGCTATCAGAGTGGTACTAGTCGCAATCTGTTAGCCATCTACTTGGGGGCCTTTCAGTGGCGCAACAGTCACAAGCAGAACGTTTTCAGCTGCTATTTGTAAATACTATGCGCCAATTACAACATTTAGTATTTACTAACTGGTTTGTAAAGTGAAAGTTATTTTAAATGACTGACATTTCTGCTGTTTTCTAACAATACACACTGTGCATTGCAATTTTTTTCATACAAAAATAATTTGGGACCGGACTTCGGAGGATTCCCCAGTTCTGTGAATGAACATCATTTTTTGTCTAAACCTGGGACTGGGAATAGCCCCACTTTAGACTTAGACACTTTAGTTTTTGGTTCTGTCCCAAGGTAGGTTTGTGCTATAAACAATCACAGATTTCTACTTTCACTGTACTTGACTAAGTACTCCACTCAAAATTTCAAATACATCTGACATACACAAGTTACACTTAGTCGTCTAAGTCTAAGTAGAGTGAGCTTTAAGGCTTAAGTTTAAGACTAAGCACTAAGCGTAGTCAATGAGACTAAGAAGAGGCTAAGTTAATTATAGCCTATTAATTTAGTGAAAGATAACTAAAATAGAATTTCAAAAATGTCATTACATTATGATTATTACATAGAATTTAATAATTAGATTCCAAGACTAAGAGTAAGAGATTGACTGAGGAGACTGAGGCTGAGGAAGTGGACCTGACTAGGCTGTGTTTAAGTAGAAATATAATATTAATTGACTAACCTTGCAAAAGACAATCTGCGATGCGATGGTAAGGATTATTCCACTTTAGTTCCTGGATGTTAATTTTATTCATTTGCTGTATAAGCTTTATTAATACAACTGATAATGTCAGTGGTGTAACTGAAAAGCAAGTCTTCAAGAAATAAACAAACCATAATCATTCAGTAACCAGTTAGCCAGGTACGTGTGTGATCCAAATTTCGTCTGTTCCGGAGATCAATTTTACCTATATCTTGTTATCGGTACCAACTTACTGTGAACTTTTCTGACAAAATTTTGAAAATTTACACTTAAAAAAAATCAAAGAAATTAATATATTCTACATGTAATTTTAAAAAAATGTTGTACTTTAAACTCTGAGATATATATCATTTAATGTTATTAATTTTTTTTTTTAAAGGGCAGCTAGGCATGCAGTTAAAAATAGAGAAGTAGCCTTTCACAGTAATAATATATAATTAACTCCGTTTTACCAAGATTATAAATTAAAATTTTGCTTTCAGAAACATTAAAATAATTTTTAATGTTTACAAATTATTTTTAAAATTTTAAGTAATCTATTTTACAATATTTTAATGTTTTTAAAATAATTATATTCTTCAAGATCGTGATTTTTAGTTTTTATTATTTAGCCGCTTTTGTTGAGCTTAGTCACTGTGATCATTTAGAACTAAAACAAATAAGTACTTTTGATTCAACTGAACTTGTACACTGATCTACAAGTGACTTGTTAATCACATATATAAGAATGTCAAGAGGAAGTAGTGCTGGGTTTGATAGATTCATAACTATATTTTCCCCTGAAGGAAGACTGTATCAAGTCGGTATGTCTCGTAAACAAATTTGTTTTATTTAATCACCTATTGTCGATTACATTGGCAACATACTAATACCAGTAATTTCAGTATGAACTGATTAAATGATTGTTTAGTTATTCGTACCAGTTATTCTAATTTTTTTACCAACTAGCTAGTAGTCCTTTTTTTTTTTTTTTGTTTGGCCTGCACTATGTTTTCAGGGACTAAAGGCTAATCCTAAAGCCACTAAAGGATGGACCCATAAATTATAAATACTTCAAAGTAGCTGTGTTTACTGCGGCGTGTACCTAGCAAAGACCATTGCCCTAGGCCCTTTTTTTTTTTTTTTTATCTTTTTTGTTTTTTTTTTTTTTTTTTTTTTTTGTATGGCCTGCACTATGTTTTCAGGGACTAAAGGCTAATCCTAAAGCCACTAAAGGATGGACCCATAAATTATAAATACTTCAAAGTAGCTGTGTCTACTGCGGCGTGTACCTAGCAAAGACCATGGCCCTAGGCCCGCGTAAACTGCTTAAAAAAATTACCACTAGCCTCATTACTCGTTGGTAACAAAAGTGTTATTTTTGTTAGCAATTTACATAATGTGCCGATTATTAAGAATTTAATCTTGAAACTCGTAATCGTAAGTAGGTACTTAACTAAGCGGCGCGTTCCGATGAGTTTTTCAGATGTCCGAAACAGACCATGAACCGATGACCGATCATTGACTGTAGGTCAATGAACAATGAACTTATTATTATTATTTATAATCTGTTTTGTGCACACGAGGAGGATCATTACAACATAAACTTTCTCACCGGACTTAAAGCGCTTGTAGCAGATATATTTTGTGGGGGAAAAAAGGTAAGCTTGCTAGCACTATATTTCAGAAACCAAAATAGTTTTCCAATTAATTCTTTTTCTAGCCAATGTAAGAACCACTTAACTTTCACTGATTGAAACTATCAACATCTTGAAATTTAGATAGAACTAAAATTGTCTAGACAAGGTATAATTTGAGAATATTTCGTAACCAGCTATCGATTAGGCCAAATGAACCTTAAGTCATAAGTGATAGCCGTTCTCTGTTATTCTTCTTTTAATTACATAAGTATTTAAAATCTTTATTTATCCATTGTTTAAAAAGCCACCCAGTTCATTGATATTACATAATCTGTCTCCTTTTTTTAAAATTTTCCTATTGTATGCCCTTTCTTGCCTTTTTAAGCTTTACTGCTTTAGTTCAAAGCTATTATATTTGGCTTTTCAGAGTTAATCCAGTCTTTAATTCTGGTCATTTTTTAAAATAACAGCTAAGCCCGTAGTTTGTATCTCAGTATTTCCTTTTTTTAAAATATACAGCCATGTCACCAACACTTTTTGGAGGAGCTGTGAAGAGTTATGCTTCTAGTAATACCGGTTCTTACGATTCACACCTTTCCATTCCATTTGGATGAGCTGTAATGAGGACTCAAAGACTACCAGACTTCTTTATATAAGTAAATTTATATCCGATGAATGAAAAATGTTCCCTTATGGATATGTAATAAATACTTGGCTTACTCTGAAAAAAAATAAATGTTAGAACATCACAATATAATATCTATACTTGATAGACAGGATAAATAAAATCACCATTGTCTTAATTAATAAATAATTTAATTACAAAACTATGACATGGAAATACACAATCTGTACTTAAATTAAATATATATAAAAATCAATATAGAAGGTATATATAGTTACTTATGTTAAAATGCTTATTTTGTGTTTAATTAGAAGGAATTTCTATCTCTATTTCAGTTTGTCTGGACTACAAGACCCACATTTAATTACAAGGAGTTTGTGTAACGATGAAATGGAAGATAATTCCTATCCTGCTTAGTGGTACTGATCGCCCAGTTGTGCCAAGTGTTTATTCAGCAAAAATTTTCAAGATAGATCTCTGGAATAATGCCTCAACAACCAAAACGTGTCTGCGTGAACAATTGTTGTACTCTTTTAAAAAAAAACTATCAGGTGTGACTGAATGGCCCACTGGATGATCCACCACATTATGGACCACCAGAGCATAATCTTAACAGCTATTGATATATTTCATCATCAACTGCATTTATTTGGCAATTTATACACTGAGTTGAATCAACAATATTGACCCAAAGCAAACCAGTTTCGGAAAAACATTCAATACCAATGGTATCTACACTCAGGACTCTATTAATCTATGTCATAAACTGAATCATTACCAATGGCATCTATAACTGTTATAATTTTGATCAAAACTGCCATGGACTCCGCAAGCATGTTTCTTTAGAACATTACTATTACCTTTATATGAAAGAAAGTGTATCTCTATTATTCAGCCATTCAATGAACTATAAAAGTACTAATATAATGTTAAGTGATCATCATTTGGACTGTGGAATCTAATAGCATGGCTACTTGGATTATCAATTTCATGGATTGGATCATGGATGATTGGATTTAACATTTGTGATAAGTATTTTTTCAAAGCGACTTATCCATCATTTAAAATACATTATTTAATCTTTTCTGTTGAATTATTCACAGTATTAACTCATTCCGTATGGCAGTGCTACTCTGTACAATTTATTTGCATGAGAAAGGGAAGTAACTCCGTTTTGCAATTGATTTACATTAGTAAAAAAAATTTTTAGCTTGTAAATATTATTTAATGTTAATGAATTAAGAACTAATGCCCCAAAAAATTTATTAAGTTCAATAAAAAAATATATAATTGGTGGCGAAAAGATAGCAAACGATGATAAAAAAATTGATTTTCGTCACCTCGGGCCAACACATGCTACATATAGATTCACCATACTAAAGCACAAGTTGTTTTAAAGTAAAACAAGATAAAAACTTATGGTTTTTAAATTGAAATCGAGTTGAATCACGCCATCGAGGGATACAAGATTTCAATGCTATTTTTAAATATAAATGAGAGAGGTGTGTCGCTATGCGCAGTTGCAACCGTCGGGAATGAGTTAATATTATTTCACTAGATGATTGTATGCATTAACTCAATTATTTGAATTAGTAATATTTATGCAATTTGTACTTTTAATGCACATAAAGGCTACATTTTAAAATTAAAGTTACTCACTCTCTGTTGCTCAAATGCCATTGATTTAATTTATTTATTGATTTCTTAATATTAAAATGGCTTATTTATTACAGCCCAATACCTAATTACGCTTTGCTGAAAATTTGAAGGCTTTGACTTCATTTGTAAATGAGTTATGGTATTTTGAGTGTCGAAAACATCTAATTTTTTAAAGAAATTTACTTACCCTCTGTTGTTCAATACCACTCATTAATACATTAATCAATAAATTAATATTAAAATGACTTTTTATAAAAGCCCAATACCTAATTAAACTGTGCTGAAAATTTGAAGGCTTTCACTTTACTGGTAAAAAAAGTTATAACATTTAGAGTATTGAGAACAGGTGCTACATTTTGAATGAAATTTACTTACCCTCTGTTGTTCAAATCACAGGCATTAGGCATTAATAAATAATATATATATTGTAGCATTTGCATCACAAAGATTTATTATTAAAGTCCGGTACTTAATCGAAATGCGCTGCAAACTTCAGAGCTTTAACTTTGCTGACTAAAAAGTTATTGCATTTTGAGTGTCAAAGGTGTCTTACTTCAATCATAGAATTTTGGAAATTATTTACTAAGGCTATATAAGGGAAAATTCTGACACTAAAAATGCGATAACTTTTTTTCTAATTAAGATAGAAAAATAAACTTGGTATCAATGGAATGGAAATACTGAGACCTTTCTAATGATATAAGTTTCATTAATGTATAACAAATTTTAAAATTTTTAGTGAAGGACCTATTTTAAGATTTGGCTTGTTTCTTTAACAATATGTAATAAAGGACTGAAAAACAGTATACAAAGAAAAATGATGCCAGATTTGGAGATATTAATAATTTTCAATATAATTTTGATATTTAATTTATATAAAAATTCAAAATTAAATATGCAGAAATAAAAACTATATAACTTACAGCATAGCAAGTGAAAATGTATAATCCTCGAAGAAGAAAGATCAAAATCAACTTTCTAGCTTTAGTACTTTTTGAGCTATGAATTTTTAAAGCGTGAGGTAGTTTGTAATTTTTTACATTGGCTGCCCCTCAACATTATGTGAACCAGTTCTGCTGATCAATAACTCTTGTTTAAGTGATAATTTTATACAACTTTTAATTTTAACACTATTATGCAATTATAAATAAATAGTAACTTATCTAGCTACCGGTATGTAATATGCATTATCAGTAAATTTAATAAATAAAAGATGGCTATTCTTTTTACCAAGTCTAAGGCATCCATTTGGTCTAAGAAAGGCAAGGTATCCCCCTAAAAATAATACTAGTTTGGCACTTCTTATTTTTAACTTTTGCACATTACTAATTATTTAAAGCTTTCCCTGACCAATGATTTTATAGTGTTTTCACTTGGCAATCTCTGATGAATGAAAGTATGAGAATAATATTATAGTAGTATAACACAAGTAAGTGACTTTCAATTGTTGCACATGACAAATTATGATGCCTTTTGTGTACCTAGGAATTTCCAAAATTAGGGTTGATTGAAAAAGCCCAAAATTATGATGGAAATATAGGTCAAGATGTCAACTACTGTGTACATGTGGATGGATCCCACAATTTTATGACAAAATAGTCCTTTCATTAATGGAAAAGCACAACCGTCCTAAAATTAAAAACTCAGATTTTTAAGCGCAGACACCCATTTCTGAAACGCAAAAATAGTACCTATGTTATAAAGCACCTATGGTAATACTTTTTTTTAAAAATTCACGAGGCTGTTTGATATTCATTTATCAACTTAAGTTATTGTTTTCATTTGCTGTTACATGTTTAGGCCCTAATCTCTTCTATAAATTTCAGAATATGCCTTCAAAGCAATCAATCAAGGAGGTCTGACATCAGTAGCGGTCCGTGGAAAAGAAAATGCAGTTGTAGTTACACAGAAAAAAGTCCCAGTATGTTGATTATTACAATTTAAATCTTTCATTATCTGATATTGTGAATGTAATTACATTTAAATTACAATAATGCTGATATTTAATTTCATTAATAGCATAAGTTATAGTTGATTACTATTCATCTAGCCAAAAGTTAATCATATTTGTAAACAAAATTATCTGACTTGAACATTGTATTGACAGGACAAACTTTTGGATGCCGATACTGTTACTCACCTGTACAAGCTAACAGACACCATAGGTTGCGTCATGACCGGCATGATCGGTAAACTATTTAAAAATTTTAGATTTTTTAAAGCAGACAATTTTTTCAAGGTCTAGTGAATGACATTGTTACTTTAGATTGCTGAGGTCTTAGTCTACCCCACAAGATTCAAATACATAACCAGAAGCAGAAAAACAAAAATACCCAAAGTAGATGGCGCCACTATTTATTTGGTTTTAACATCAGCATTATCATTATGTCATCATAGATGGATATTTTTTTGTTCCAGGCGTATCATTTTATGTGGTCAGCTTATTAATGGGTTAGATTCTTTTCATGCTTTTCCCATCCAAAATTAGGGTGTTGGCTTATAGATGAACAGGCTTAAGAACAAGTATCTATATTTACATATTCAAATTCAAACACCTATGATAGAGAATGTTTGCATAATATTAAAATACATATTCCAAACATTTCAATTGTGGGAGATCAGATATTTTAGTAACTATTTGAGTACATTTGCAAGAGTTTATATGGAGAGTAAATGGAATAAAATATTTATTTTCCACTTTGACTCAATACAGCATAAACCAAATACATAATTTCACATAGGTGCAAGATTGTTTACTGTTGTGTTTTACTACACTTCCACAAAAATTCTTTCTTTTTTTGTGTGCGAATGTGACTTGTGTCTGCCTTCCACACATTTTTTATGTTCAGGACTTGTGCCTGCCATTGTTTCTTTTTATTTAGTAAGTATGATTTACGTTTTGTGTATAATTTAAATTCATGCACTTTTGTTTTTAATTGATGAAATTTTTTACATGCATTTTGCCTATTTTATTAACTAAAACTTAACAATACTTGTTACATCTACATAAAGTTTGGGTGTTTGAACAAATTTAGAGTATTATCATATTCCAACCTCTTATAATTTCAGCTGATAGCAAGTCCCAAGTACAGCGCGCTCGCTATGAGGCAGCTAAATGGAAGTACACTTATGGGTATGATATTCCTGTGGATATGCTTTGCAAAAGGATTGCAGATATCAACCAAGTTTACACCCAAAGTGCTGAGATGAGGCCGCTGGGATGTTGTAAGTTTGTTTCAATGTATTGTTTGAACTTGGGATAAAATTTACAGAACAGAGATCACTTTTCTTTGTTATATAGGCCATCTACAAGAATTATCCATTCATATATGTCCTGAGCTTTTCTTTCCAGTTGCTTCCAGGCATATCCCATATTTTCTGTGTCTGCCTCTTAGCTTGTGTCTCTATGTATTTTTTGTTACCTTCCTCTCTTCCTTTTTTCCTGTAGTTTCCATGTAAGGGATTATTTAGTAACGTTATCTTGGGTTTACGAAGAGTGTGCCCTATCGACCTCCATCTTTTCCTTATGATGTCTTCAGCAATATGGTTGGTGATGGTGTTTGGACATTTTATTTTGAGATCTTTCTACGCCATGTGTTTGTGAAGGACTGTACTTTCTGGGTGATGCTCGCCGTTGTTCTCCAAGTTTCAGTTCCATAGAGTAGAGCCAGACATGACAACCCTTCTGATTTTGTTGGAATTATACAGATTTTTTACCCCTCATTCCGACCTTCCGACAAACCCCTTAAAATTCAGATTTTCCGAACATTATAATTTTTCACCTGTCATAAGAATCCGAAAGTGACAAAAAAACCACACAAAAATCGGGTACGACAGGAAGTGGTGCATTTCGATGATGCCCCTTCCTTTGTTTTTACTATGTGTCTACATGTCCTGCTTAGGACCCACCAGTTGTGTCAATGGTGATGCCAAAGAATGTGAAGGCTTCACTTCATCCAGTCCATATACTCTTGGTTTCCCTTGGGTGTATGAAAGGGTTTACATCAGAAGTAGCTTAGGTAGGAGGGGGTTAAACTGGAACATAACAGTCATCAAATCTCAAAATTAGTGTTACTGTATGTAATAAATTAAAAATCTGATTGACCCATACAATTTGTAGTACAATGTTAATAGAGGAAAATATGAGGCTGGCAAATGTGTAATGTTTTACACAGTAAATTAAATGCATATTGCATGTTGGGTAAGAAGTTTAACTTAATAGAAACTAAGCACCTAAGAAATTTCTGAATATAAATTTAAATTACTGCTCGATTGTCTAAAATCACTATTTGTTTTCAGTTGCAGACTTCATGTTAGTGGAATACAGTTTGTTTTAGGGACTGTTCAGCATCAACATCAATCTTAGACAGACGTTGAAAATGATAAAAAGTCATTTAAAGACTAATTTTCTTTAAATAGATTTAAGGACATCAGAGCGCTGTTAGCATGCTAAAATAGCATTAGACGCAAGTGCTTTAAGAGTACTCAATCATCATCAACATGTTTTAGCGGCTATTCAACATCAAAATCAACTCTGAAAGTTTGTCTATCTATTAACACAACATAATAGGTCTTGTATTAGAATTAGAGCTCATGTAAATGAAAATTAACATTTTTATTTATTGCCTTTCATTTGATAGGTATGATTCTTATTGGCTATGACGAAGAGTATGGGCCAACTGTGTACAAAACAGACCCTGCAGGTTACTACTGTGGTTTCAAGGCAACAGCTGCTGGTGTAAAGCAATTAGAGGCCAACAGTTTTCTTGAAAAGAAAATTAAGAAAAAAAATGAGTTCACTGACAGCGAAGCTGTTGAGGTGAGAATTTCTAAAAAATAATTTTAATGTACATTTCTATGGTTTATTTATCTCTTAAAAAGTTCAATGGAATCATTGCACTCAATATTTTTTTTACTGGTACACTTCTTCTTCTATATCTTAAGGGCCCATGATCAATTTATTGATCATTTTGGCTCCTATGCATGTAGATGGGATTTACAATGGTTCTGTTCCTGATGTTGATGAGGAAATCATGCACTAGGGGTTTGAAGGCTTGAGGCAATAGACACAAATCTGTCTAGTGTTGTCGCCTCAACCATTCCTCTTTGTAGTCAGTTTGTTTTTTTTGCATCAGGAGCCATAACTCAGCAAATTTGAAAAATTGGTGTTACATGAAGGGGTAGATTATATGTAAGATTGCATGATTGTTTTTCAAAATAAGTATAAGTAATACAATCCTATCCATATTACTTTTTAAAAAAAAAAAACGATTTCTAGTTAAATAAATAAATAATGAATAGTGGAACAAGATATTTTTAAGAAGATTATGTGGCATAATTCAAGTTAAAAAATCATGAAACAATCACTGTAGTAATTTTCAACTCTGTATTGGATTAATGCTTTAAATCTTTCTTTTAGATTGCCATCACATGTTTGTCCACGGTACTGTCAGCTGACTTCAAAGCATCAGAGCTTGAAGTGGGTATAGTCTCAAAGGACAATCCCAATTTCAGGTGAGAGAAAATATTTTCAATAGTTTACACTTAATTTTTTTTTTTCTGCATATTGTATATTTAGTTTTTAAAGCAGTCTTAGTTCTAACGTGTCATCTAAAGAGAATAATATTAACTGATAAAACAATATAAACATTTGAAACTAATAAATCATCTTATCTAATGAATAGATCAGAATGTTAACAAGAAAATATTTAATTTCAGTCACTCTAATTTTATAGAGGAAACCTTGCTGTCTCCTACAAATACCATACCCTACATTCATTTTTAATTTTCAGATAAATATGTTTTTGTATTTCCAGGGTTCTAGCAGATAATGAAACTGATGTATATCTTGCTTCAATTGCAGAAAAAGATTAATTATTCAGCAGAATGAGTTTGAATGAGACATTACCTCCTGTTAAATCATGGTAGATGTGAGGTCAAGTTTTTTTTTTTATAGAACATGTACAAATTCTTTGGTATTAATTTGTGGGTGTTGCTGATACCATGAAAGTATGTTTGGAGATCAAAGTATGTTTGGAGATCGATTATATGTGATGTAAACAAAAATATTTTCTCATTTTTGAAATGCGTCAGTGCTACTGCTACTGAGTGTAAACCTGATGGATTATGTTAATTTGGACATCAGACAATGTCTGTTATTGTATGTTTGGTGATGTATTAAATCAAGAATAAATTACTTTGATTTACTTTTTGACTTCTGTTAAATGTTGATATTTCTATATGTTCTATATTTTTTATTAATCTTTGGTGATTTGCTGCTCAGAATGTTATCAATATTTTAAAAAAGTTTATAAAGGTACATAAAAGATAACATTGGGATCATTAGTCAGTCATAGTTTAGAGTAGAGATTGTTTATCATGCTTTATTGTAAGTAATCATGTAGTGTTGCGTTTTGCACACCTAAAATTAAAACACTGAGAATCATTGGACTGCATTTATTTACATATGTACAAAGTTAATTATAAACATAGAAAATATGATACAACATAGATGTCTTGAAGCAATACAAATTTTAACATTGTTTTGCACAAGCATGAAAAGCTAATTTCAATTTTTACAACAAAACTGAATACTTATCCTCTGCAGAAATTGAGTAAAAATGAATTATTATTAATTTATTTTTTTTACCAATTAAGCATTCAAAAGTCAGACCATTGAATATAATCATGTACTCTTAATTAGGCTCTTTATTTTTATGTTTTGAAGCCCATATTAGATAGGCTTTGAATTGAAATTTGTAAATATATTGATTACTTATTTTTTCAAAAAATGTAATAAAACATTGGAAAATAAATTCTAGCAATGGAATTTTATGAGGATCTTATTTAGCAACTTTGGCTACTTTAAAACCTAGTCACATGATACAAAGAATAAAACCAGGACTGCAGTATATTCAGTTTTATGAATATTGCAACATATTTTACCCAAGGTAATCTTAATAATTTAACAAATTATATTTTCCTAATTTATATTAAAAAAAACCTATTGCACATTCTTTTAGACTGCAGGAAGCGGATTTTCCTACCTTATGTCTCAAAACTATTTTGAGATTCACACACACTAATAGTTCAATTAGATTTTACTTAGCAATATAACAATTAGCATCAAATAGTTATTGTCCTTTACTCCTGTTTTTCATGCTTTATAAGTACTGCACTTCTCAAGAATTTACATCTTTAACAAGAAGTATATATTATTTTCTTTTGCATTTGGTAAAATGGTTCCCTAATTGAGACTTAAGAGATTGTTAATGTGGATTTTTTTAAAAATTTAATAAATGATAAAATGGATGATTTTAAAAAAAATTATGATTACTAAATCCTAACTACAAACAAATTAGGAACATAAAATCAGCCTTCACTTGCAAGAATTATAACATCACCTTGCAAAGTACCCAATAGTCAAGGTGAGTAGATTTTTGCTTTTATTTAACTGTTTATCATTTATATCTTATGGGAAACTGAAAGATAGTTTCAATTAGCAGTTTCTATGACTGTCACCAGAAAAAATTGATTCATGGAATCCAAATGTCTTGAGCAAGGAACCCCATATTTTTTAAAAACATTGGGTCAAAGGTTTTTCTGCAAAAAAGAAGAAATTTAGGCTTGTAATTCAATTTTTTGAATGAAAAGCTTGTCACCACAATGTTATCCCCTCCCAGTGCAATCAGCCAGGTTTTTTGTCACAGAACTATTAGATCCTCCTAAAGAACAGGAAGCAGGAAAATACATGAGAGGAGGTATCATAAAGGAACAGTATCACCCCAACTTATGACTTAAAGGAATTGTTCCATTAGGCAAAAATGTTTTGTCAAGAAAGGGCACCTGAAAATTGCCAATGATTTGTTAATCAATAAAATATAATTATTCAATGATGAGGTGTTGGGCTGCTTTTAGAAAATAGACAACAATGGACATATTTTTGGCTCAATCAATAAAAGGGAGAATGAAGACATTCATCAAATAACTAGAAATGGTTTTAACTGATGCTTCAATAAAAAATTCTCTCATTCTAAACCAGGCCTGCACAACATACGGCCCGCGTGCCACATGTGGCCCGCCAGCAACCACTTTGTGGCCCGCGAGGTAACAAAAGACTCTTTATTCTTATTATTTTCTTAATAGCTCCCTCCCTCACCTATATTCTTTTGGCCCGTGCAAGTCCTGACCTATTTTCTTTTGGCCCTCACAAGTTTTTCCATAATGTATTACGGCCTGCCTTACATTGTGAGTTATGCAGGCCTGTTCTAAACAATAATGCCTAAGTGGCACGCCAGCAACCACTTTGTGGCCCGCAAGGTAACAAAAAATCTTTATTCTTATTATTTTCTTAATAGCTCCTTCCCTCACCTATATTCTTTTGGCCAGCGCAAGTCCTGACCTATTTTCTTTTGGCCCGCACAAGTTTTTCATAATGTATTACAGCCCGCCTTACATTGTGAGTTGTGCAGGCCTGTTCTAAACAATAACGCCTAAATAAACATTCTTCTTCAACCTCTACAATCATTTATTAGTACCGGTATAGGTAAGTTTTTGAAAGCATTTGCAAATGCTCTTTAATAAAGTGAAGACCTGTTAAAAAATGTTATGGAACCATGGCTTTAGCATATATTTTTTTGCGCCTTTCAGATTTCATTTAAAACATTTTAAAATTCTTAAAATACGGTATTACATGTTTTCAATAACACATCTGAACACTGAAATTGATTATTTTCTTAAGAAATGCTATTGATATTTACTTAGTCCTCCACTTTTAAATCCTCAAATGATTCTTGTGACTTGTGCTGTTCTACTTTGAACTACTGCTTAAATATAAATCTTAACTTATTTCCCAGGTGAAACTATTTCTAAAGCCTTGTAATATTAGTTCAGAGTAATTTTACACACAGTTTTGCATTTTGTACCCGGACATACATCAATGTTATTATGCGATATGTGTGCATGCTACCATTTCCCTCGTTTACTCCAGTCTTTTGGCTGCCAGTGAAGACACTTCGGATCAATACGAATTGGTCTTTTAGCCATAGCCCTCTCTTGTGTTTGTATTTGTTCATCAGAGAGGGTGATTATATATTGGCCTTTGTAGTAGTTTATGAGATTCAAGTGCTGCAGTGTTGATATGACATCATCTTTTTTAATACTAGTCAATTCAGATATCTCACTGTAAACATAAAAAGGAATGTTACACATTTTTTAAAAATTACCATTACTGACACATTTTTAAAAAAAAGATACTTAAAGTAGAAGTCAATCTTTTTATTCATAATTAGCATTTTGATCAATCATACAAATTAAAATTGTTTAGAAAACGAATTAAATTTGAAATTGTAAATCTAAAATTAACACAAACACTCACTTGATTGTAATACATGGTCTTTCTCCAGATTCATTTGGTTTGAGATTGAGCAAAATTTCTAAAATAGTCTGGGACCAGTAACTTCGATACGACAACAGCCCCAAGTCAGACAAAGGTTTTTCCGGAGATCCTGTTTTTCCTTCTACCTTTGATAATTCATAACCTGGTTAGGAAATAAAGAAATTGTATATAGAAACCAATATTAATTATTCATTTGCTTTACTTAAAAATTTGATTTTGTTTGGGAGTTTCCTGTATTGGGCCCCCCATATTGGCATTGTTTACCATACACTGCTGATAAGAAAACTATTTGACTGTTTAAAAAAAATTATAATAGAGATTTCCACCCTTTATGAAAATGTATTATGATTATAGTAACATTTATTCTACAATACATTTCAATAAATATTTTGACAACCAGTACTGTTGTTTTATAAGATATATTTAATACAATTATGCAGCAGTGTCTTATTTTCCTTTCCTTGGCTGAAAGGAATGGAGTAAATATGTAGAGTCTGTTTGGAGTGAAAAGGGTTAACTCATTCTTGACAGCAGTGCTACTACCCTACTTAATTAATATTTTTGAAAAGGGAAACAACTCTGTTTTGCAATTGATTTAGATTTGCAAAATATTTTTTTTAGTTAATATTAATGAAAAAGGCTAAATAAATCCATAAATGAATTAAGTTTATTAAAAATATAATATTTTATTAATGGCGAACAAGCAATGTCCAAAAAATCTATATTTGGCACATTGGATGAACACATGCTTATATATTGACGCACCATACTTTAGATCATATAGATTAAAAGTAAAAGTGAAACAAGATAAAAACTTCAGTTTCTTAAATTGAAATCATGCAAGATCGCCTGAAATCTCAAGGGATGCAGAGTTTTGTTGCTATTTTTAAATAAAACAGAGAGGTGTGTCACTATGCCCCGGGACGCATTCCGTCGTCATACCCCGAATGGTGCATCTCGAGGAAGAGTTAAGAGATGGGAACTAAAATACATCCAGAAATAATTTTAAGAAATGTTTTTTTTTTGTAGAAATTATTTCCATATCACAAAATTTCAAACATACCTAGTCTAATTGAAATAGGCTCACAATATTTTTCTTCCTACTTACTAAATTCAATTAAGAGCTTTCCATAGCCTTTACGTTGATAAGGAGGTAGTGTCAATATACAAGCAACATTGAAATCTTCTGCTGATTCTTTTTCCTGAGTAAATAAAATGTGATGTTAATTTTAAAAGTGGAAAGGAAATTTGAAAAAAAATTGCAAAGTAGGTAACGGTATGATTGGAAGAAAAAAAATCATACCATCACGACCATACTTTGCATGGAAATTATTTAGAATTAAAATAAAATAATGAGATAGCTTTTTACAAATAGTAACAGAATTTCTCTTGAAAATATTTAATTTACATAAAATTATAGATGGCCGTGCTTCAACTCAAGTCTTTTACTATTACTAATTATTAGTTACGATATAAGCAGAATTACAATTTTTATAAAACTTTAATAATTGTTCCCTAAATAGTATCAAAAATAGAAAAAAAACAGACCTTTGAAAAAAATCCTACTAAATGATACCCTCTAAGATCTTGCTCACACATACAGTAGAAAAGAAAAGGATCTGTGTCAAAGTAGAGGGTCTTGTGGTCCAGAAATAGTTTTGCTAGCAAACATAAATGCTGGGCATATTGCTAAAAACAAAAAGAAGAAACAGGACAAATGAACAAATATAACAAAGAAGCTAAATAATAGTCACTTAAAAATAGTCTGGTTCAAGTTTCTATTTAAAATTAAGTATCCTGAACAGTTAATTGGTAATTATTTTCAAATGTCTTATTGACCAAAGGGACATTTAAAAAAAAAAAAAAAAGACACATGAATAGCTAATAGCCTTCAATTCCTCAGTAAAGAAATCATAAACACAATAACCACCTTGTTTTTTCTGCCATCTATTTCAAAGACTGATATTTTGTCTTTGGTTCAAGTTTCTATTTAAAATTAAGTATCCTGAACAGTTAATTGGTAATTATTTTCAAATGTCTTATTGACCAAAGGGACATTTAAAAAAAAAAAAAAAAAGACACATGAATAGCTAATAGCCTTCAATTCCTCAGTAAAGAAATCATAAACACAATAACCACCTTGTTTTTTCTGCCATCTATTTCAAAGACTGATATTTTGTCTTTCCTATAAATTTCATTTCCAGGTGGATGCTTGTACAAACACTTTGCCTGGGGAACATTTTATAAAATTTCAGAATCAGATTAAGATATAGAATTATAAAAGATTATAAAACACAACTGATATTTTCTAATGTTTTCTTGTTTAAATTCCTACTTACCAGATGTCTTTCAAGACATTTTGCACTTTTTAAATATTTCAGGCAATATTCACAAATATACAAGATCGGTAATGATGTCAACTCCTGAAAAGACACATTAGAGAATCAAGATTAAGTTAACTTTTTAATGGGAACAAGTCAAACAGTTAAATTAAAGAATAATGCATTAATCCTATGATAACATAAAATATTGATAAGACACTTTTGCAAATAGAAGAGAACTGAATGGGACCTTAAGTAATTGAGACCATCCCTTGATGGTGGTATTTTGAAACATATTCTGACAAGAAACACAAATAAATTCCATATTATTTAGCTATTAACGATACAAGCAACAGTACATTGATGTAAGGCAAGCATGAATTTTATAAGAACAGAAATGTATTTATGGCTGCAAGATATTTGTTTATGAAACAATAATGAAATGAGTGAATCTGATTAAATTATAAAATATTTCTTACCCGAGAGACCATTACCTGAGGGTATGGGGAAAAATACCATGGTTTTATTCGCCATCGACCAAATTCTATAAGGTTAATGTTTTTCATTCTAGTGATAATATCATCATGATGAGCTACCATGCTGCCAGTCTGCCTTGGTGCTGTGGGCACATCTTGGGAATCAGGCTGAAACAAAAAAATTTTAAGTGGCCTTTAAAATGGATAAGTTACTAAATGATTCTGAAAGAATCAATGTTTTTAATTGTTGAAGTATTCATGTTATGAACTTTTTTTTAAAACGAAAAAACATATACCTCTTCAGCGCTAACCTACCCCAGCTAAATAAATATTGAAAACAATTAACAATGATACTTACATCTTCATTCTCTGGTAGTTTCCGTTTGCGATTGGAAAATGCACCACTGCCACCACCTATGTGCACTTTCATGGCTCCAGAATTGCTGAGACCAAGGCTTTGCATTGTGCCATTTTCATACTGAAAGAGGGATAATAAGCGACATAACATTTGATAATATGGAGTATGTCAAGCTATATGTAAGGTTCACATTATCTAAAATTTATGATAGTATTTATTGTTTATATAACCATTTTTTACTATAAAAATAGTTGTAAAAAGCAATAACTCACTATTTCTCTTTCTGGACTCCCTGGTCTAGATCCACCATTAACCACCCTAGAGGCTACAACTGTAGCATTGCCCTCAGTTTTTTTAACAGGTGTTTTGACATCTTTTTTGGGTTGCTCCAGCTTTGAAAGATCCATACGTTCCAATGGAACCCATTCATCAAGACGTTTATTGTCTGAAAAATAATATTAAGCATTTCTGTTGTTTCAATTATGAATGCATTTTTATTTAAGTAATGAACTTATCAATTTTATTACAGCAGTTAGTTACAAATATTTCTATAATATTTATGATATGGGGAAAGGCTGTTTAAAACTTTGTAACGTATTTTTAATAATGTTACAGAAAACTTACAATCTTCATAGTGTATATAGTAAAGAGGTCTTCCAATATTTCCATTGTCTTTGATGCTAAGTACTTCAGCAGAATCTGAAATAATCACACATAAAAATAATAGAAATTTTATAATATTTAAATTTTGTTGATGAGAAATATAAAGGGCCATATCTCTTCTCACAGAATTTAATTCTTATATATTATATAGGATTAGCATATAGAAATCGAGTCTAACAAGATCAATTTTTTATGATACCGGTAATGATAAAAGGTTTTCAATTTTCAAAATGTCTTTTTTAAACTAAATGCTCATTTATTTGATTTTTAAACCCACAAACTATTTGTCTATTTGTTTGTTACTAACTATCCAGCACATGAAGACACATATGTTTCTCTACTAGAGTTAACTTAATCCTCTCTCCCCACCCTTTCATTCTCATTACTTCCAAGTAAGTCACATAAATTTAAATTATCATTCTAGTTTTTTTAATTAAATAAATTATATGAACATTTTACATATATGGCTTTGGCTATGTGGAGTATGCCAAAAGATGACTACGAGTAAATGCTAATAGTCAATAAACATATATTGGTGGGCCTATACATAATTTTGACTTAATAAGTAATCATATAATCATAATATTATGATAATTATACTTTACTTTTTATAATAATACTAGATAGTACTAGTAAGTAATTTGATAAATAAATTAAAAACAAGTATAAATAAAAATGAATTAAATTTAATAAGCTTATATTTAGACCTAAATTAGTTAAATATTATATTGAGTAATTTTTTTTTTTTTAAATGTTTATCATTATCATGGTCATTTTATTATTATTTTTTTTTAACCTAGAAGCTATTTTAATTTCAAACAGAAACCTTGGAATAATCAGGCAACAAAAGAAATAACAAAGGGAGAGAACTAAAGAAAAGATTTTATACTTACGCCACCCATCTCCATTTGGTAATAAAACGGGAACGTGGCATCCCTCTGTTATTTCAACCTTAATTTAAATACAAGGATACATATTAGTGAAACGTGTGAAATACAAAACATATTAAAATGACATTTTAGGCGATAAAAAGGTAGTTTTATTGCTTCGAAATTACCTTTCCTTCCGCCATGTTCACCATTTTGACGCAGTCGAGTTGCCAGATAAACTGTTATGTTAAATTTGGAAAATCGTAACCAAACTCAGAAAAAATATTTTAAAATTGGAGATCTTTGTTACACTTTTAATGTTTAAAAAAACAATAACTAAAAGATAATAATTATTATGTTATAACCTAAAATTCATTGCTTCTTTTATCGAACCTGAGAACTGGCAAATACAGTTACTAAATTATAGGCACAGAATACATAGTTGAATTCAAAACTTTATGTTGCAAGAGGTTTTGGGGCGAGGATAAAAATAAAATAATGTTTCCTATTGCCAAATGACAGAGGAGTGAAGAGAGTGCACCACCAAGACCCCAAAGGGAAATGACCAAAAGGCAGACCTCGGCTTGGATGGATGATGTGGAAAAAGATATATAGTATAGCTGCTGGGAATAACATTGCTTGTCTTGCATGGACAAGAAAAGCATCAGTTAGGCCTGAGTCGAAGGTGGTGGTAAGACGGGCTAAATCCCTACATGGGATAGATGGATGGATGTTTTTCCGATGTTTAATTCACTTGAAATTCCCTAGACAGGGCCAGAGTTATAATTCAATGGAAACATTATTAAGCTATAACACTACACATTGCTTTCTTCCCCTTTAAGATTTATTTAATCTATTTATTATAAGTAATTTGTGATGGCTAGAGATACAATGTAGGCAATTAGAGCTGTGGAACATTTTAGAATGAAAAACAATATAGCATTATTTTCTCTATGTTCAAATGCCTTGATATATTTATCTAAAAATCCGACCCTCTCAATTGAAATTTATTCAATGTATTCGTTTCCATGACATAATACATTTTATAATTCCGGTTAGAAAAGTGTTTAACATTTTCTGGTTATTTCCGCGATCCCAGGTCACATGCGAAATTATTGACATTATAAAAGCGGATCAGAGGTTGACTGCTCGAGTGCCTCCAAAATGACTATCCATATTTAAGGGGATTAAAGTAGTTCTTGGAGCTGTATAACACTTACTAAATATAAGCCATGAAACACATTGTCAAATTTGAAAAGAATTTGACGCATTTGTTTAACAAAAACTAAAAAAAAAAAACTTTAAACAAACCCGATGCCGATGATTTGTAAGGCAACCTGCGTTTCTACTTCTGTTGCACGAAATGGGTTACCAATTACCGGCACATTATTAAATTCATGGTTGTTTTTCCGTGTCATGGCAGGCAAAAACTGCGCCCGACAATGCCTGAATTTAGGCGCTCTTTTTCCATAAACTATACATAAAGACATTTATTTTGCATCAAAACTGGTGGTTTTGTCACCCTCTAAAAGGTGGCACCCTGGTCGGGTGCCCCTTCATCCCCACTTCCACCCTCATCGCTTGGCCCAGTTGTCATGAGTGTATTAACACAGTTTGTCGTCCTTTTATTTATCATTCACAGCTAATTGGGGAGAGAACTGTGAGAGTACAAATAGTTAATAGAGTTATATCCCATTAACCACTCTTCGTGGCGCAGCAAAAACCATTTTTAACACTATTGACTGTGGGTTATAGATCAATAGAGGCGATGCATTCTTTCGGGGTTTAAAATGTCTTAATCTGATTATCTTAACGATCAAAGGAATGTGGAAGAGAAAAAAAAAAAAACATTTGAAACAAAAAAGTATTAGTAGCATTTTGCAGCAACTAACTCCACAAAAAACGCTACTGATGCCGGTGCAATTTTTCATCAAATGTTTAACAATATTGCTTGAAATTGAAGAGAAAAAAAAATCAATCAATAAACCTAAAGATGTGCTCTTAAATTATTCCTTCAAAAATGTCAACAGTTTGAGAATTTTTAAAAAAAATCGATGTAATTTATTAGGGTATGGTCATTAGTGTCCGGTAGATCATATTTTCATTGTTGAATTGGTGATTCTGGATATATTTAGAACGCACATAAATCTAGCTGAAACCAATAAGACATAGAAATAAGCCCCCCCCCCCCCCCCCAACAAAAAAAAAAAAAAAAAAAAAAAAAAAAAAAAAAAAAAAAAAAAAAAAAAAAAAAAACCCCCCCCCCCCCCAAAAAAAAAAAAAAAGTCATGTAAAAAAAAAAATAATAAAAAATAAAAAATAATAATGCATTGCTTAAAAATTGTCCCAGACCTAAAGAGTTAAATGGTCAGAAGATTGAAATTTTGTTCTTGTCGTTGAAAAAACTTAAATGGGTGCTGCATATATAAGATTCAGTTTAAAAATATGTTAATGTCAATATTGTATTTTGAATTTAAGCTTTCATAAAATTGCATGTGATTTTAATTTTTTAAAATGACTTTTTAAACTGTTGAGAAATGTTCTAAAATGTTTTAAAATCTGAAATTCCCTATGTAGAGTTTTGATTACTAACCTTTCTCTATTTATTAAAACTTTAAGATTTCCTTCAATATAATGTAAACGATTATTTAGATATCTTGCTGGATTAATTTTCTATGATTTTAAAAATAATCTGAACCTTTTAAACAAGGCTTGTTTAGAAACTTCTTGTTAAATAAACTTTAATAGCATTGGTGCCTGATAATGTCCCAAATAAAATACATTAAAGATTTCCGTTCATTTGACCTAGGTATTATTTATCTAGTTATATTTTTTTGTATGATTTAAAAAAATAATAATAAAAGTTTAGTCTTGTTTCCTTCCGTATTGTTTAAAAACTGTGATGGACTTTTGGATTAATCAAATTTTGTTTCCTATCAAAGCTATAAAGCTGAAAAATTGGATTTGTTGTTAAATATTACTGAAATAATGCACAATATAGTTATAAGTTTCATCTTAATTATTTAAAAGATATATTTAAAAAAAACAAAAAAAAAACAACCCCTATTTTAACTGCATTCGATTTTGGCAACAGTAAAAAAAAAAGGTTAGAAATGACCTAATTTTTTTAAAAATTAATAAAGATATGGCAATATTTTTCGTATTTTTCTCTGATGAAACCAAATGCTATACATTGACATAGTCAAACACTATACATTGACATAGTCAAACACTATACATTTGCATAGTCAAACCCTAAACTTGGTCAAAATACTGAAGAAATAATACAACTAAAAAAAAGTGAGCTGAGCCCCACAGTGAAATATTGGAGTTTGTCTAAATACACATACATGAACAAAGCCAATTGAATGAATAAAAGCGTATGTGATAATCAAAACCTCACACCTTAAATGAATTAGTTACAACAGATTAAATTTGTATTTTGATTACTTAAATCAAAATTTAATTAATGGCTGGGGGGGGGGGGACATGTTTAAAAAGTGTAACAACTCACCCCCCTTTCCCCTCTGCTTGATGGAGTTTATAGCAGATATATAACCCATAAAACATTGTTTAGGCATTTGGAGTTGGAGGATATTCGACTCATCGACCTTCATGGCAGAAGAGGTTTACGTTGAAAAGTGAGTGGGGAATTTTCCAACAGTGGTAAGTTAAGAGGTAAAGATTATTTTGCTAAGAAAGGTTTAGAGTTCTCGCTCGGGTAACAATGTGAGAATCAGTTTCTACTTCAATGCATTTAATTGTAGGTCATTCCTCCTAGATCACTGGAAAGTTTGATCTTAATCCCATGATCACAAAAGCTGTACTATAAACTCGTAAAATGTACAGGCTAGAAAGTAAACAATTATATAATTATTGTTAACTCCTACACGTCTTCTTGGATTGATTACATTCGTCAGTTCTTTAATACTTTGAAGCGTCGTACTATTCTCACTATCAATTAACAAACTCAACTCCTTTTGATAATAACTATAACTTTAATATCTAAGTAAATATAATAAACATCCTATCACTCCAAGGTTCCACTCAAGACTGCCGCACGACTAAAACATACGTCACAACACGGCATAGACAATACGTCACGAATCAGCAAAAAAATACGTCATAAAGACAATGGCGGGAAGAGCGTTCACTAACTATAATAGTCAAGCGCGGGAAAAGCGTTCAACAACTAATGAACATAATATTGAGTCTCAACAATTACTAATGAACGCTCATACTCGACAATTATAATTTTTGAGGGAGGTTCAAGATTTTTGGTGTGCACGTCTTCTTTTGCTTAAGAATCTATTTAGATAAACTAAGAATAAAGGGGTAGCTCTAGACCAATGGCGATCACTTAAGTATTGAACTAATCAGTTTCTATTTCTTGTCTTATTTTCATCTGTACTGTCTGCTGAGGAAGGCTCTAAGCCGAACGTCTTCATCTTATTGTCCTGTCTTTCACTTCAAGCTTCCACAAACTTGTTCTGCTATTTCCTTCACGCGGCTTGAACTTAGTACTTCATTTATTATCTTTTTAATAAGACCTCAAATATTTATCCATTAATCTTCCTGGTACAATAATTGTGTGTATCTTTAAAAGTGACTATAGATCATGATCAAACTTGCCAAACATAGTTATAGCATAAATTGATAGCTCTTGAACAAACTTGGCAGGATTATTTATTACATAAATTGATAGATCTTTATCAAACTTGGCAGGATTATAGTTATTACATAAGTTGATAGATCTTTATCAAACGCGACATACGTAGTTATTATACTACAGTAATCAGAAGGAAATACTTGAATTGTAAAAACTAATCCCATTCAGGGCCATGGGCCAAAACTTATTTTATTTTTCTTAAATGATCTATATAGATAAACTAACAATTAATGGATGCATTTAGATCAAACGTGCCACACAGGCCCCTGAATATCTTATACTGAAAAACTGGAAGGTTTTGAACTCAACACAATTCATCACTTTCGGGGCCAGACATTGCCATCTTAAGTTGGTGAAATGTAAAAAAAAAATCAAATTAATTATTACTTCTCAAACACTTACCTGGTTATTAAAAGGGACAGAATATTAAAAAACACAACGACAAAATATTAACAGACACTGCAACGACAGAATCCTAACAGACACAACGACAGAATATTAACAGACACAACGACAGAATACTAACAGACACGACGACAGAATACTAAC